AAAAAAAAAAAAATAAAGCACCATAACAACCCTTTTAAGGTCATTGCTTTAATATTTTTTTCTTTACATGAAGCCTATATTTTGTTTTGGATCTGGAATAAAGTTTTTATTTGGTTTTTTCTTGAATTTAATTTGTATAATCAGTGGCTGCATTGATGGGACTGAAGAGTAAAATGGGAGATGAGTATCATGTTCTGGATGGATGGGATATCAATTCTGTTGATCCTTGTACTTGGAACATGGTTGGTTGTTCTCCTGAGGGGTTTGTAATTTCTCTGTAAGTCACATAATACTTGCAATTCATATAGGATAATTCTGAAGTTCTGGTGTTACTCTGCATTAGTATGTCTAATTGTTGAAATTGGTTTTGTGCTTTTTTTCATTGTGTGCGCTTGTGTTGTGTTTTGTCTTATTACTTTGTTTATTAAACTCTGATGTTAATCTGCAACGGTAAGTCTAATTCTTGAAGTGGGTTTTGTGAATTTGTTCTCTTGTGTGTATGTGTTTTTGTCTTATTAATCTTCTTTTTTTGTTCTGGGTTTACTATGCACTGGTATGTATAATTGTTGAAATGGTTTTTGTGCTTTTATTTTTGTGTTATTGTGTGTTGTTTTGGTTATTGAATATTTTTCTGCATAATGCTTGGCAGTGAAATGGCCAGTTCAAGATTGTTGGGTGAGCTTTCACTGAGTATTGGGAATTTGAGTCACCTTCAAACAATGTGAGCCCATTATTTTGATGTCAGGCATTTTGTCATTCTTCATTTGGATATATTTTCAAAGTCGCATCTTGTAATTTGCTAATGCCCTCCACATCGACCATAATCCAAATAACATTTCCATTGGATTTTTGAGCATCTCAAGGCAATCTGAGAACTTTATTCCCTCTTCTCCCATTTTTTTATTAATTTATTGTTGTTTACATGAAAGTGTGGATTTTCTTTTCAAGGTAAAAGAAACACATTTTCAAGTTTTTCTATTGAAATTGCGTGGAAAAGTCACAGTAGATAGTAATTGATTCCAATTTGGACTGGTATTCTGGTAGGTTACTGCAGAACAATCAGTTATCTGGTCCCATCCCAGCTGAAATTGGAAAGCTTTCGGGATTACAAAAGCTTGACCTGTCGGGTAATCAGTTTGTTGGTGAAATTCCAAGCTCGTTGGGTTACCTAACTAGTCTAAGCTACTTGTGAGTTGCTTGACATCATAATTGTTACGTAGTTTTTTCTGTTGTTCTATTGTTAAATGTGCTTTACTTGTATGCACTTCTGTTCCTCGCCCTTGAGGACTTTTTAGGAGGCTTAGCAGAAACAAATTGTCTGGACAGATCCCTGGACTAGTGGCAAACCTTACAGGCCTTTCATTCTTGTATGTCTTCCATTACCTATCAAGTGTTGTTTCTGGTTTAAAATGCTTTGAATTGGTGTTAGCTATTGTGTTGGCAACATTGTGCAGGGACTTATCATTCAATAATCTCAGTGGTCCCACTCCAAAAATCCTGGCTAAAGACTACAGGTCAGATTTTTAGGATGTTCTCATATAAATTTGTCTCCTGAGTATATTATAGTCAGACATGTTTCGGATATAGCAGGTTCATAGAATACCAATTTTAGTGGACTAGGGAGTTATTGCTAAATTAAAAACAGAAGGCATAATCCTAGTTGAAGAATAAAGATGCTTAATCTAAGCTTCAATGATAAGGCTCATGTGCAGTCTGATTACTGAATTATGTACAGATTTTCTCAAAGATCACGGAAGTTTTTGTGCTTTCAGACCCTATGGGACTTCTCATGACCTTGTTTAAAATTGATTAGGCTCATCTAACAGTAAAAAAGGACTCAAAAATTCTGTCTTTCCCCTTTTATCCACCTATTTTTTACCCTATCTCATTTCAACTGCCCCAGTGTTTATTGATATTGATATTTTCATAATGGCTAGAAACTTCTAATGTCTGGCCGTTTCTCTTTCCTCTTTTATTGTTTTAAGAGAAAACGTAAGAATACCATCCTCATGCAATTATAGAAATTGCCTTTCAAACCAAACCCAAAAAATGAAGCATTTGTCCCAATAACTTGGGGTCGCCTAAAGGAATCTTTTCCCATCAATTTTCCCTGCCAACGATCATATGTTCACTTAAATTACACAGTAGCATATCTTTCCATGCTATTTTAGCTCTTCCCTTTTCTCCAGCATTCCTACTAACAGGGGTCATGCCATTCTTCCTTCCTGGTTCATATATGGATCTTTGTTATACATGTCCGAATCATCTTAATATGTTCTCTCAACACTCTTCATTTCCTCTACACTTTTGGTCAATGTGTTGTATTCTTTGAAGCGCGTCACTTATGAGGAACACTATAGACCTTAGTTGCACGTGCTTCTCATTCTCATAAGGGGTTCAACAAAGTTTTGTGATGGCTGTCTGTCTATCTAATGCCACTATTCTATTCTATCTGGGTTTGGAACAGGCTGTACTGAAATCACATGTGAAGTTAACAAAGTATTTAAAATAAATGTCGTCCTGCACATATACACAATGATACCGATAAGGCAGTAATGATCTCCATAGCTATATCTGTTTCTATAAGCATTTTGCTGCGAGTTAGGTTTACTTGTTCTCCGCCTTCGCTTAATTCACTGATTTTATGGGGTTTTTGATAGAGCGGGGTGACATTGTAGTAGGAAATTGATTGTGACTCTATAATAGTGGTGAGCCAATAGATCTGCCTAGACCATGAAAACAGGAGTTCCTGATCCTTGTGAGCTATCAAATAAGTTGGAAGCTACCATGTCCGTTCTAGCAACCAGCAATGCAATTGCTATTTTAGCTGCTATCATCGGAACTTCATCAATATGTAATTAGCCACTTCACATTCCCAAAGCAGACCACCGTCCACACTGATCTTGCCCATGCACGTGGTGCCAAGCCCACTAGTTGATAGGAGAAAGAAAAGTACATTTGGGGAATAACGTATTTGAAAATTGCTTTATTATGGTTGTCTGCTGTGCTGTTGTATATTTGGCATACCAGGGGTCTTATATCACCAAACATTGTTCCTTCATGCATGCAGTTCAGATTATTCTTCTTTTATCTTATTTACGACCAACTGAAGGTGTACTCTTTTTGCTGTAGTATCAAGGGAAACAGCTTTCTTTGCTCTGCATCATCCACAGGACCTTGCATGAGTGTTCCAACTTTAAATGGTAATATGTAACAACAGTTTTAACCCTTTATGTAGAGTACATTCCTATAACATGTAACTAAATTGTTTTTATATTTTAATTGCAGACACAAGTTCCTTTGGGAAAGTCCGCAGTCATCATCATTGGGTTCCTTCTGTTGTCATAGGAGCCAGTTGCACGTTTGTGGTTTCTGTGATGCTGGTTGTTTGTTGGGTGCATTGGTGCAGATATCATCGACTACACACATCATATGGTACCTACTAAGTGAATGATGTTTTCTTTCCATATAAAACATATACCCTTAATCGACATTGAGACTCTAATCATTTGATATGCAGTGCAGCAAGATTATGAATTTGATATTGGTCATCTAAAGAGGTTTTCATTGCGAGAATTACAAACTGCAACTGGCAATTTTAGTTTCAAAAACATACTTGGACAAGGGGGATTTGGAGTTGTCTACAAAGGGTATCTTTCAAATAAGACTTTGGTGGCCGTGAAAAGGCTGAAAGATCCTAATTTCACTGGGGAAATGCAGTTTCAAACTGAAGTTGAGATGATAGGTTTGGCTTTGCACCGGAATCTTTTGCGTCTATATGGATTCTGTATGACACCTGATGAGAGGTTACTTGTTTATCCTTATATGCCAAATGGGAGCGTCGCTGATCGCTTGAGAGGTCTGTTTTCAATTAGTTGCTAATTATTTGGTGCTCTGTCTCTTTGTCTCTCCAAATTTCAAACATGAGATGGATCAGGTATAACCGTTATGTAAATTACCTAGACACTCAAGTGACTCATTTTCTGGCGTGCCGAACAATGGAGTGGCCAGTGTCTACTAATACAATAAACTTATGCTGAAATTGAACTTATGGATAAATTTTTGGATCTTTGATTACTTCAGCAGTGATCTTGTTTTGCACAGGATACAAAACTATTTTATTTTATTCTTTTTCTTACCCAAGTAAAATACACTTCTTGATCTCTTCTGCTCTCTCCTAACCTAGGTTTCACTTTAACAGATACTGGTCGAGAAAAGCCATCATTGGATTGGAAAAGGCGCATGTGTATTGCACTCGGAGCTGGTCGTGGCCTTCTATACTTGCATGAACAATGTAACCCAAAAATAATACACAGGGATGTCAAGGCTGCAAACATTTTGCTTGATGAAAGTTTTGAGGCAGTTGTTGGGGATTTTGGTCTTGCTAAGCTGTTAGACCGCAGGGATTCACATGTTACAACTGCAGTTCGGGGTACTGTAGGACACATCGCCCCTGAGTATCTCTCCACTGGGCAATCTTCTGAAAAAACTGATGTCTTTGGATTTGGCATTCTGCTTTTGGAACTCGTAACAGGGCAAAAGTCATTAGACGCTGGAAATGGTCAGGTTCAGAAGGGGACGATCCTTGATCGGGTGAGTAGATTGTCATGTTTTCTTTATTTTTTTTGCTTCTTGTGAAAAGATTCTTTTCGAGATTAGAAAGTTGATAGGGCCGCCTGTGTGGACCAGTAGATTGCTTTGTTCGTGAATTTTTTAGTAGGTATTCTTACTCTTTGGGTGAATTGGCAAGTTGTTCCACATAGACCTTGCTTGACTTCTGAATGACAATAATCTTGCTGGCTGAAATTCTAGCAATGTTGTACCAAGGTGTTTTACGTACTCTATTATTTCGTTTACTGATTGGTCAAAATTGTTTTGTTGAATACCCAATCTGAGCTTTGATCTTGCTAGACATAATATTTTTTCGAAAAATGTTGAGCTTCAGTTTCCACTTTTTCACCTCATATTGATATCTTTCAGCTTAAACCCATCTTTTTTAAGCTTTTGATAATTATTTCATAATCGATCATAGCCTTTGACCAGTTCTATATCAATACATTACTGTATTATGTGTTGTTTGTTGTTTGTCTCATAATTTTGCCTCTAGCTCAAGTTCAAGGCCTCAAATGTCTAAAAATTTTGTCCAAGAGTCTGAGCAACGGCGATCTTTGCAATTCTAGTGGCCACTGGAGAATTTGTAGTAGACCGTTGAACTTGGTATATCTATTTCAATTGAGTGAGAGAAACTGCAAAGCTTTTAGTTCATAGGTTGCATGGAACAATTTAACTAGATGATTAAGACCACCATACTCACTTGTGGTTTTGTTCTCTCTCTCTCTCTCTCTCCCCACCAGTTATAGATTTAACAATCTGTTACATTGGACAGGTTAGAATATTGTATGAAGAAAAGAGACTGGAAGTGCTTGTAGACAGGGATCTGAAGGGAGGTTTTGATGCAGAAGAGCTAGAAAAAGTAACACAAGTGGCTCTGTTGTGTACACAATCGAGCCCGAACCTCCGGCCAAAGATGTCAGAAGTCTTGAGGGTTCTAGAAGATATAGTTGGATGCCCCGGACATGCCGAAGAATCCCGAGTTGGAGCCAACACACCTGAAGGTAGGACTTTGAGTTTCTCTAGGAATTTTGGTGATGTCCACGAAGAATCGTCATTCATTATTGAAGCAATGGAGCTTTCTGGACCACGGTGACAGGGCTTCGTCTTAGAACTTAGTTTTTTTCCTAACAAATTATATGTTGCTGTTGTATCTAGTTCAGTACCATAAATCGTGTATAATAGATTTATAATTTTTTTTTTGGCCTTTTGGTCATCTAGTTCTCCAGTTAATGTATGTGAAATGTATAATTCATGAATACATATATACATATGTATGTATGCATGCATGTATAACCAAATTATCAATGGCACAATTGTAAATACCCCAAAGGAGCACAGTAAGAGTGAGAAAACTCAGAAGAGAAAAAAGAACCAAGGGAAAATATTTGGCTTCTATACAACATTTCTGTCAATTGTCAGCCAAAAATAAGAGGGTAAAACTAGGATCTTCAATTGATCAGATTTTGATCTAAAACCAAATTTGATTGGTTGGATATAGGTTGATATTTTTTTACCGATTATTCGAATCTGAATTTGATATCTTATATTTCATGGATTCAAATTTCAATATATTTATATCCGATTCGATCATAAATATTTATATATTTTTGTATAAATATCAAAGAAATTAAATGATTATTTAAAGAAATTTAGTTAAATTAAATTATTTGGATCGGATTCGAATTGTTAACAGATTCAGATATGAACTTTGAAAATAAAATTTATTGACTTATCGGATCAAATTCAGGACAATCAAAATTCAATTCAAACTCAATCCGTTGACGGGCTTAGGTAAACTAGTTTTGAAGAGGGTATATATGGAAGGTCACAAATAAGAAGCAACTAGTTACCATTTACAATTTATATAAATAATTCGAATTTGAATTCAATATCTCATATTTTATGGATTTAAATTTGGACATATTTATATTCAATCCAATTATTATTTGATCTAATCTGAAATATTTATATATTTTTGTATAAATATTAAAAAAATTAAGTAATTATTTAAAAAAATTTAGTTAAATTAAGTTATTCGGCTTGGATAACATTTCTTTAATCAAATTCAAGTGGTTAACAAATTTGGGTATATACCATGAAAATAAAATTGGCTAGATTATTAGATTGAATTCGGATCGGTCAAAATTACATCCAACTTAATAGGTTGACAGACTTGGATAAAATTAGTACTAAAGAGGTATTTTACCGTTACAATTTATTTAGGTCTAGTTATAACTTAATGGGTCAACTTATGATGAAAGAAAAACAAAAAGTTAAAGATTTGATTACAAATAACTACAGCAGACGAAATTGGCATTCTAATGAAACGATTTCAAGCATTTGAATACCTCCACAGCCATTTGAATACCTCCACAGCCATTGGGATCGGTTGTGGACCACTGTATTAACCTAGTTAAGTTTATTTTGGAGAAGAATGACGAGCATGATCAAGGGTCTTATAATCCCACTAGTAAAGATCTATCAGAATGGTCTCTTTTTATCCCTACTCTTTTTTAAACAAGAAAAAAAAAAAAAACCAAAAAGCATTGACTTTTATTCTTTGATTTTCTCACATATATCAATCAACAATGCTATAGATTTTAATCCATAATACTTCCAAAAACTTTTGCTTACAAATTATTTCAAGATTCCTCTAGTATTCAAAAAAAGATTTGTGGCCCGCTATTTTTTTTTATTTTTCAATCGTCACGGTTGTTGGACTAGTTTATTTGCGCTTCGATTAATCTCTTCCTTAATCTGGTAAAAGACAGACTATCTATACCGCAATTAAAGTATTTATGAGGAATAAATCTCTTATGATCCGACCTTAAAAATTGCTAAAATTAAAATTCAGGATATCTGAGTTTATAACTTATTTCAAAAGAAATAATGTAGTATTTTGCGTTGTGCCACTCATGCATAGTTATTCTAATGAGCAATGTTATTGACATCTAATTTATTGACTTAATTCAATGTGACATTTGGATTGATTGTGAGTCTCTTTAAATATTGGAACTTAGTGTTGATCTAATAGTTCCAATGAAATCACATCATTGTGTTACGAAAGACCCGGGTTCGAGTCCCGGCAACGGAATTTTTAATTTTTTCTTTTTCTATTCTTCATTACTATTTTGCCACCCTCCTTCCATCGACGATAGAGTCCCTTCAAAATGTACTTTCCAAAGGCATAATAGTCATCTCAGGACTTTTACAGACTTCCATCTTCTGTCTCCTCTGCTTCTCCTCCACCGCGGCCTTCCTACCTTCAATCCACTATGTCCTCTCTCTCTCTCTCTACACATATGTGTGTGTGTGTGTGTATGCGTGCGTGTGTAGTGTGATGACTGTGTTTTGGTCTTGTAAATGTCAAACAGAGAAGAAGTTATCGAACCCAATGAGAGATATCAAAGTCCAGAAGCTTGTCCTCAACATTTCCGTCGGCGAAAGCTACGATCGTCTCACACGCGCCGCTAAGGTTCACCCCTCTCTATACTCGAACATTGATGTACATATAATCATCTTTTACGGATTTTAAATTTTTTTCCCAATTTTAATTTCTAGGTATTGGTACAACTCAGTGGCCGAACATCCACTCTCTCCACTCTATAGCTCCAATAATTTAATGTTCAAATATATTTTTTGAATAATTTTTTTTGGTGGTTTGATTGTGACAGTAAGGTATGGCATCAGGCGTACCGAGAGAATTGCGTGCTGCGTGACGATTAGGGGAGACAAGGCAATGTAGCTTCTGGAGAGTGGGTTGAAGGTCAAGGAGTAGTAGCTGTTGCGCCGCAACTTCAGTGATACTGGCTGTTTTGGGTTTGTTATTCAGGAACACATTGATCTGGGTATCAAGTGAGTCATTATTGAACTAGACTTCTATGTGTTTTATGGCTTGTTGATACTAATTGATGCCTATACGAAGAGGGTTTTTGCCTGTTGAAGGGAATAAGAAGTGGATTGTAGTAGATTACCTGGTACAACTAGTGCTTGTTGATTATCTGTTATTACTCTATTTGGACCAATATGATGGACTAGAGTTGGGAAATTGACGAATTAGATGGTGCCTATTCTACGTTAGGATGGAATTCGTGTATTATGGTTAAATTTGTGTAGGAGCATTTGGGTTATGAGAAAAGTATTCACCTTTTTTCTCACAGGCACATTTACATTCTATTTTTTTTATTGCTATTCAACCTAGGGATAGTATGATATAAGTTGTTGTATTTACTTGATCAATATGGTTATGACTTCTTACTGTAATCAACTATGAGAATTTGTCTTTGTCTGTGTTTTGCTTATACTGAAACAGTGTTTGGTCCATGTGGTGAACAAAAAAACTGTCTTGATTAAATTTCATATCAAACTAAAATGTTACTAAACTTTCCAGTGTGTCACCCAAAGGTGTTTTTGATAGTTTTTGGAGGAATTAATCATTTCCTGACTTGACGACAAGAAGCTGCCTTAGCACAAGTTCAAGGCATCTACAGGAGATGAATGAGAGTAGAAAACTTCACAACTGATCCAAAAAAGTAAAAAAAAAAAAAATTTAATTCATAATATATAAGTTGGACAAAGTGGTACAAGTAACTTGAAGTGAATTGTGTTGAATTATCACTGAGCTCTTCTAGAAATTGTCAATATTTTTCTTTTCTTAATGAAGATTTGCATTTGAGTGCCATTATTTTGTTGGATCTCTACATGTGTTGTTGATGTAGAACTAGTTTATATTTGGCTCTGTGGCCCCTTTGCTCATATATTTTCAAAAATGGCCATGAGTTTTGACCCCAATACTATCAAATAATAGCCCCCAATACTATCAAATAATAGCCATGAGTTTTGAAAACAAATCCTACAATGAGATCCTGCTCCTTTTTTTTCTTTTTTTGGGATCATAATGGGATCCAGCTTCAAGGTTGAAGTTTTAGAGTGGTTTCCTTTGACAACTCAGAGTTATCTGTGAATTTTTGAAGTCGAGCATCAAATGTCTCAAATCCACACTAATTGTTGCTTAGGCCGGGGTCGACTTTAGAGTTATAATTCAGTTTTTTAAGCAATTGAGGACATTTGATTTGCATATTGTTTTACTTACCCATTTTACCTTTTCTCTAAGAAGGGGGAGGGGGTGGTAGATTTTCCTGTGACACTGCTGAATCAATCTAATGATTTAAAGTTTTACTGCTCGTTTGATTGAAGTTTCAATTGGTATAGTCTGACTTAGAAAGTCCTATTTGCTTGAGGGTAAATCAGCATCCTATTTAATGGTTTACATCAACTGTGATGCCAGTGGTCCTAATTTCACTTGATTTTGGATCTGACCAGATTTTGGTTAATGTATACATTGGGAATTGTAGTTGGCATGCTGGAACTGACTCTGTTACATTTTTTTCTCTCTTGCAGGTATGATCCTTCAACTGGTATTTATGGGATGGACTTCTATGTGGTTCTAGAACGCCCAAGATACCGTGTGGGTTGCCACTGAAGATGCAAATCCCGTGTTGGCATCCAGCATAGAGTCACAAAGGAGGATGCAATGAAGTGGTTCCAGCTCATATATGAGGGAGTGATTCTTAACAAAGCTCAAACAAATGGAGCTTCTTAGAGAGAACACAAATTGGGTTTGGCCGAATACTAGAAGTGAGGGTAACTGGAGACCTGACCCTAGCCTCCTGGAAGATACTATCCAATGGTTGCCTACTTCTGATCACTTGCCTCCAGTTCTACTTCGGAAATGTTCAGAATGAAGGGTCAGCAACAAGATTGGGCTAGGATTGTTTGGTTTCCTGGAGCAGTTCCCAGATTCAGCTTCATTTTGTGGTATGCTGTGCAAGAGCACTCCGTGGTTTCTGTGGAGATTAAGTTGAAGATCATAATCATCTTTTCTTTGGTTGCTCATTCACCAACAAGCTATGGATGGGTCTACAGTTAAAATGCAATGGTCAATGGCCTAGTGGAGGGTGGCAGAGTATTGTCTAGTGGTATGCATGCACTATGAGAGGGAAGAATATGGGAAGATGATTGGCAGATTAACACTTTCTACCCTGGTTTATATTATATATGGATGGAAAGGAACCACAGAACCTTCAGGAATTCTTACAAGGATGTTTCTTGTTGTGCTTAAAAACATTGGAGTGCATAAGACAGAAGTTTCATCTAAGTAGAGGCTACAGCAAAGCACCTTCAAATCTATGGCTGCAAAGGCAATGGTCCCTCTCCCTGATTCAATTTTTGAGCCCCCTTGAAGCTGCTGTGTTGTATCTGAATGGAAAGTGGTGCGAGTTTGCTGTAAATGCTGTGATGCTTCTGCAAGAAAGCCCAGATATGCTTCCTTTTGCTTTATCTTTAATTAGAATGCTTTTGTATCTTTGTAATCAGGTATAGTTGATCCTCTTTTGCTTGGGATGGTGGTTCTTCTACATTTGGTTGGAAGAACTGCCATCCGTTTGCCCTTTTTTGGTTTCTTTTGGAAGATATAGTTGAATATGGGCTAAATCATTGTACATGGATACTTTGGTTAATAGAATTCAAAGAAAAAACATTGCGACAGTTGATCAGATTGTTGCAATCTTAGCCTGCAGCTCACTCCTCATCTTTTGGTGCAATTGGCTAGCTTACCCACTTGTTCTTGGGCTGGTGAATTTGGATAAATTTACATTGGTACAAAACCGAAAAATGATTTTGTGGTTATAGATTTGAAATTTATTAATAAAATAAAATTAATAAAATAAAGAAAAAAATAAAAAAAAAAGATTTTACAACCGAGTGTAACTTTTCTGTACCAAGAGTCAAAACAGTGAATTTTACAACTGATACTAACCTCTATTTGGACAAACATTCTTGGAACATCCATTTCAACCAACCTTAACTAGCATCTAAGTAAAGAACATGTAACAAACTCACGTAAAGAATGTACGAAAGGCAAGAACAAATTCACAAATTATAAAAAATGTGAGAAATCAAAACATTGCATCTCAAGAAAAACACTATCAAACACTTTCATCCTTCATAGTAATCATACAACCCCACATACACCACACCAGAACAGAATGTTGATAACAGAGCCTAAGTCTCTCCTAAGCAAGATATTAGAAAGTATAAAAAAGAATGGCACCAATTCTCTCTCTCTCTCTCTTGATTAGACTTATATTAAATTAAGTATTAAAGGACAAAAAAATCTTTGTTCCAAGTGATCGAGAAGTAATGATCGAGAGTGTTGAGTAGAGTTGAGTGATCATTGGTTAGAAACCTGATGAATAGGAGTCTCTCCCATGGGACCGAACTCATTCCCCACATTCGGTAGTTGCAAAGCTAGAAATGACAGTGCCTTCCCCATTTGGTTGCTATAGAAATAGAAGTATCTCGGGTGAACTTTTACATTCATGGTTGACTTCATACATCAATGCCTTCCTACTGACTGCATACATCAAGTGTTGTTGCCAATGCGAGATGCAACATAACAAAGTACCAGTGAAAGCCAATCACTCATGAGAAATTACCACTTCTGCCTAAGCTAAATGAACCAACAGTCCTATGCCCAATCAACAATATTTAGAAAGCACGACTAAGAAAATTATGACAAAGACAATTGATGAAAGCCCAATTGCCACACCAAGAACAATCTTACTTGCTGCATGCATTCTACGTTTGCGACAACGGTCAATTCCATGCTCTTTAGAAGAAATAGTTGAATCATTGAAACAAAGTTGGCTATTCCCACCCACTTTGAACACTTCCAATCTCTTTATAAATGAACCATTGAATGGCAACACCCCTTCAAAATTATTCTTCTCAAGATTCAAGTACTTCAATTGTTTCATCTCCGAAAGGAACCCTGGAATTGTCCCATTGAGCTGATTAGACCCCAGATCAAGATGTACCAAGCCTGAGATCATTGCCAATGAGTCAGGGATCTGTCCAAACAGTGAGTTTGAAGCTAATGACACATTTTGGAGAGAGATAAAGTCCCCAAACGAACCGGGTATTTCGCCATAAAGAGAATTTGATGAGAGATCCAAGTATTCAAGGTTCTCTATGCGACTTAAGGAACTGGGTATTTTCCCTTTGAGGTTATTGGAAGACAAATCAATTTGGGTAAGTTTGGTTTGCCAGTGGTCTGGAAGATACCCAGTGAGACCTGTTTGAGAGATTGACACAAAGTTCAGGTTTTTCATTGTACCAAGAATCATAGAAAGAGTAGCGTCAGCAATATTCACACCAGAGATGGTTAAGGTGGTTAGATTTTGTAACTGATTTAGCCCGTCGCCGGTGAGTGTTTTAAGGCAATTGATGCAAGTGAAAGAGCGTAAATTGGCAGTGAGTTCAGAAGGGAAGCGAACAGGGGAGATTGGGCAGTTGATGAACTGCAAATCTGTGAGACTGGACAGAGATTTGAGGGCAGTGGTGGACAATGTAACGTTGTAGGAGCAGTTGGAGAGGCGGAGAGAGAGGAGGTGATGGAATGGCTTGGAGGAGTCACAGGTGGTGGAGTTGTGGAGATGTGTGGGTGGGGAGCAAGGGTCTGTGGAGGTGGGGAAGTTGATGGATTGGAGGGCCTTGAGTTGGTTGGGGTCAAGGGTGAAGGTGGTGGTGGAGGGTGGAGAGAGAGAGGAGGTGAGGGTGAATGAGGGGAGGAGTAGGAGTAGGAGTAGGAGAGAGAGTGGGGTGAGAAGGTCAAGGGGGTTTGGTGCCATTGCTGCATGGACTAGGTAGGCTTGGTTTTAGGCAAGTGTCAGTTGGAAGAATTATATTATGTTGTACAGCTTCGGAGTTGTATCATAAATCTTCATAAACAAACATCCTTTGGACATCAATTTGAACCAACTTCAAACTTATTATAAGATTAGAACCAGATTCGAAGTTATAAACAAGTAAACCCCAAAACCAAACCCGAAGCAAAGAATGAACCAAAAGGTTATAACAAATTTCCTCAAATTATGAAATGTGTGAAAAATCAAAACCAAAAACAAAGAAAAATGCTATTTAGACTCTAAAAGTCGACACCATTTGTTGATTATATTTAGACTCTAAAAATCAAACCAAAAACAAAGAAAAATACGGGGATTTAGTTAAATTAATAACAGTGATTGATGGAGTCAATGATAGTGGATCTTAATAAATCCTAAAAGATAATACAATAAAAAAGTGTATGACCTATTTTTCACACGTCAATGTATCATCGCTTTATGGCTTTGTTTTTTTTTTTTTTATATTTTTTTTTTGTTTTTAAAGGATATCCAAATGTCAAATGTTGGAGGATATTATTAACTTTATTACGATTTTGGCATTATATTGAAATTTATAACTTTTAAATGTAAAATTATTAGAAGTTACAACCGAAAAAGAGATATATATTACAACATAGATTGATCATGAAGTTATTTCCAATAATAGTACTTTTATTTTTAAAAGGTATTACTTGACCTCAAAAAAGAATAACTATTAATAAGGTACCGAGATTTTTTTTGGATACGGTAGAATTACCCTATTAGTGGTGGGAATTGGGAAAGATATTTGATATGTCATGATCATCCATACAACATTTCCACAAGAATCTCAACTGCAATAAAAGCAAAAACATATATCGATCTTTAGCTCTTTTTGCACTAAAGGCAACAATATTATCACTAAAGAGAAAAACGTAAATATGCCCTTGGTCTTCCACAAAAGATTGATGGTGAGAGATTGAGACCCATAGCCCTATGAAACAAGGGATAATAGCTCTCTAGCCCCATAAAATATTTTTCGGTGCAATACTCATAAATAATTTTCGATTTATATTGTGATTTGAGTTATTTGTAAATATTAATTACTAAAATATTAAAATAAAAAAAAACTGCCCCCTGCCAATTGGATGAAAAAGCAGATATAGTATTGAAAAATTAATTTTTCGGTTGCGAAGGTTAACCCTAAAATTAATTTTCATTGTAGTGAGAGGAATTGTCCCAGCATATGCCTCTTCTACTCTCGGCATATCCCATTTCTGTGGCAACTCGAATATGGGCGTTTAAAAAGAATGGTAAATGTGGGGTTAAGACATGGAAAACGGCTTGAGGGTTGTAGATATCAGAGCAAGATATTTCGTGTTTCAATCTCAATATTTTATCGGATTTTGAGCTACCTTTGATGATAAAGTATCTAGCTGAAAATAAATTGATAATAAATAAAAAAATATAGAAGAATTTTGTATGTTAAAATATAAATATGTCAATTATATATTTTTTGATAGCTTAAATTTTTAGAATAGATGGTGATTAACATAATACCAGAGCAAGAGATTTCGTGCTTCAATCTCACCACCACCTTCATGAATTAAAAAGATTTCTAGGCCAAAAATCTGTTGAATACAGTTTGCAAACTGAGTTACAGAGATTTATAGATGGCCGGTTACTTCTCACCACATTGATGGTTCTTTTTTTGATGGAAGCAACATCTCTGTACCATGGGTCAAGGTATCTGTTGATACCTCATTGTGCTTCGACTTGATCGCGTCGTATCCAACTCGACACTTTCTAATCTAATACCGCTTTATATTATGTACAAGAAATAAGTCTCACATGATTCGGCAGAGTCATTTGTGACATCTTCAAGTCAACTTCAAGTCATTGAGTTATTGTCATTGAATCGGTTGATGCTGTTTCGCGACATGGTGACCAATGTCTCAAAGAGCATTCCAAGTCGAGGGTTGATACGGCGATCTTGAAATGTACTCATTTTTAAAAGTTTATCTCTCTCTCCATATAGTAGAAACTAGAAACAGTAATCTGGCCAGACACAATTTGAGGATTGCAAACCCCCCTTACCTAATTCCATGTTCCTGCATTAGATTCAATAAACTGAGGCGAGGGAGTGTTTGTACTTCTGCCAAGCTAAGCCACACTGCTGCATGAAATACCTCCAGTAAACAAGTAATCAAAAAACAATTGATCCTTGTTCTCACGAATCAGCAATATACCTAGAGTTAAAAACATGCATGTTGCAACCACACATGTTGAACTCCCATACCTTTGGTTCAAAAAAAAAACCCCATACCTTGGGAGTTGAAGAACACACGCAGGTTGGACACAGCTTTCTGGTTGTTTACAAATCTAGTAACAGAAACCAAGCCCATAAGATTTCTTTCTCTCGCTCTCTCTCTCTTCCATCCTTGTTGAACCGCCATCTCATAAAAGCTTAGACTTGTAGAGAAGTGCATAACATAAGAATCTATTTGATGCTCCCCCCTCCCTCATGTGTGGCCCTTCTTGGGTGTGGTCCATGTATAAGAGAGGAGTTCTTATGGTCATTGAACTCAAGATGTAGGTTGTGACACTATTTTAAACTATCATATGCTCTAGAAATTTAAATTCCTAGCGAGAGATGTGACATAAATATACTTATCTGGCACATGTTGTAGGAAGATAGATAATTAATTATTGTCTAAATACATGGACAAATTATTTGATCGTTTGGATCCATAATTCATCATCTTTGCTATAACATATGAATTGTTTTGTTAGGATTGTTTTGCTTTTCTAATAGATGCAACCGAAGGTGATAATTGAAATCCTCACCTTCTTGATGAAGTGCAAGGGTTGGAAGTTCATATATCAATCTTTACTGCAACTGTGGGGAGACCACTGTTTATCTGCATGTCAAATAGAAAGAAAAGCCCAATTTTATTAATATTTTCCGGAACTCAAACCTATCACTTACTTCTCACATATAGATGCAATACGTGTGCAACAACTAGTATATGCTACAAAGCACTAGATGTGCACATGGGTAAATAGAAGATGATCATACTTATTTATATAGAAGCCAATCACAGGGAAAAAAGAACTAGTTGGAGACCAGATGGAAAATCAAATTAAGAATACAAACAAAATAAACTTAAATATGCAATCAAAAAGAACCAATTTTTGAGTAATATGACAAAACAACACACATGAGCGCGCATGCGCGCGCACACACACACACACAAACAATACGCATATGGACCGATCGAACTATATTGTGGCCTACCCCTCCCCCCTCTGGGGTTTTGAAAATCTCANTTCTGGTTGTTTACAAATCTAGTAACAGAAACCAAGCCCATAAGATTTCTTTCTCTCGCTCTCTCTCTCTTCCATCCTTGTTGAACCGCCATCTCATAAAAGCTTAGACTTGTAGAGAAGTGCATAACATAAGAATCTATTTGATGCTCCCCCCTCCCTCATGTGTGGCCCTTCTTGGGTGTGGTCCATGTATAAGAGAGGAGTTCTTATGGTCATTGAACTCAAGATGTAGGTTGTGACACTATTTTAAACTATCATATGCTCTAGAAATTTAAATTCCTAGCGAGAGATGTGACATAAATATACTTATCTGGCACATGTTGTAGGAAGATAGATAATTAATTATTGTCTAAATACATGGACAAATTATTTGATCGTTTGGATCCATAATTCATCATCTTTGCTATAACATATGAATTGTTTTGTTAGGATTGTTTTGCTTTTCTAATAGATGCAACCGAAGGTGATAATTGAAATCCTCACCTTCTTGATGAAGTGCAAGGGTTGGAAGTTCATATATCAATCTTTACTGCAACTGTGGGGAGACCACTGTTTATCTGCATGTCAAATAGAAAGAAAAGCCCAATTTTATTAATATTTTCCGGAACTCAAACCTATCACTTACTTCTCACATATAGATGCAATACGTGTGCAACAACTAGTATATGCTACAAAGCACTAGATGTGCACATGGGTAAATAGAAGATGATCATACTTATTTATATAGAAGCCAATCACAGGGAAAAAAGAACTAGTTGGAGACCAGATGGAAAATCAAATTAAGAATACAAACAAAATAAACTTAAATATGCAATCAAAAAGAACCAATTTTTGAGTAATATGACAAAACAACACACATGAGCGCGCATGCGCGCGCACACACACACACACAAACAATACGCATATGGACCGATCGAACTATATTGTGGCCTACCCCTCCCCCCTCTGGGGTTTTGAAAATCTCAAAGTTCTGCCATTGTTTGAACAGTAAACTATTTCCCCATTTATGGACCCTATATATACTGGCTGGTTCTATCCCTGCCCACACACGTACAGAGATAGTTTTTCGATAATACTTGTAATTTCGAGTACAGAATATTTTACCAGTCGTGAATGTAAGCCAAAGTGGTTGATTGCTATCTGAATGCACAGTTGAATTGCGGGGCAAATCTCCTTTGGCAGTAAGCTTACTCTTCCACCATAAGATATAAATCATATATATGCAGTCAAGTGGCCACCTGCCAAAGGAGGAATTGCCCGGTAATGCATCCATACACGACTCGGACTTGTCTGCTTCGTTGAGCACACATTCAAGGTTCGACATCCATTTATAGGTGATGAGAAAACAGCATATTCCACGAGCACATTCACTATTTGTACGTCGGTAGGGAGAAATGTGGTCCTGAAACTGATTTTTGATCCGTTTACATGGTTTCCACCTCTGGATATTAATTCCTTTCTTCTCATTTTTCCTTTGATCTCTTCCTAGAAGGGGACTGAAGTAGATCTTCCATCCTGTAAGATCATGCTCAGTGTGCTTTTTGAGCCATGGTGACGTGCATCTCACATGACCATACTTGAGGAGCATTTTTTGAAAATGTAAGAGACTAAAGAGATAGAAATTGTAAATATGAAAGACTAAAATGACAAACATTATA